CCTCCGCAAGGTCGATGATCCATGTTTAAATCGCGATTTGACTTTCAAAACGCGGGGTGAGAGGAAGGGTGCTGGATGACGGATGGCCGAAGTGATCTGATGTATTCGAATCCGCTTTCCTGACGCGATCGATGGATCCGCGACACTTAATCAACTTTGCCATCGAGTTGCGAGCAAACTTCGCGCGCATTAATATCGGGAATACGATCGCGAGCCACGTAAATTTGGGCACAGGGCGATTCGTAAAGAGGGATAAAAAAGAATGCCTGCCCCACTCCCCCGCGATTAGTCACGCGTGCGTTGCCATACGGGATACGAGGGAGGAGGCCATTTTTATACGACGGTCCCCTTCTTTTTTATTCGTACCTCAGACTGTTACACCCCCTTATACAGAAGCCCCCTAGAATTTTTCGGTCAGTCGAGTACCCCGTTTCGTGACGTTCGCATGTACCGCGCGTTTCGAGACTTATATATACATGATATATATCTCTCGCTGTTAAATGAGAATTCGTTGATTTGCGAAGGAGGATCGTGTAAAGTCCAAGTGAGTTTACGTGACGGAAATGATCCGCGACGGTCGAGTGAAAACTTTTCAAGGACGAACTCTTAGTAAAAAGAGTACACGGTCCAAGAGCCCGCTTGTCTCGGCGTCGCGTACTTACGTATACGCCGGAACGTAACCGCGAATTGTAAGATAGCGATCGAGATAGACAGAGACAGATAATCGGTTCTTACGACTCTCTCTCCTACCCTCCTTCCGGAAGGGTTTTCTTGGCCGGGTGAAACGGAGACGGAGAGCGGCCCCACTCTCTTTCTCTCACCCCTTACGACGCTTACCCCCGTACGAGGCGTCGGCGGAGTCGGCGGCGGAGAATCCCCCACCCACCTGGGCGCGGGGTGAAGGGTGAGGAGAGTTTGAGGAAAAGGGGGAGATAGAGCGCGCGCCTCGGCGTCGTGTCTGGTGGGGGCAAAGGAAAAGAGGGGTAGCTTGAAAACTCCTGTCCTACGACGGCCTCAGTTTTTCGTCCTCCCGGAGGTAGATTTTCGTCGTGGGTGGACGCGGCCGGGGTCACGAGTCGGTCCACGGTAACCTGGGCCCGCGCCCGGGCCCGTCGGACCCGCGTATGGCATCGCCGCGGTAAGAAACGGCGTACGGCGAAGGCGCCCCGAGGTGGCCAGAAATTTCGCGGCCGCGCACCACCTAAGACAACGCCCCTACCCGAACACGCGTTCTTTAAGGCACGAGGGGGTGGCTTTTAGTCAGACGCACGCGGTCTGAGAAGCGCGCCACCACCGGCCCCCGACGGAGAAGGACTTAGCGTTTCTCGCGAGCCGCAGACCCGAGTCAGTTTCGGTTCCTCCTCCGTCAAGGACTCGAACGCGGAAGAGGAGAGAGCTTTTTCCCCCCCGTCGTACGTCGTCGTCGTAGTCATCGCCGTCTTCGTCGTCGTTGTCGTTACCGTCGTCGTCCTTCGAAGAGGAAGAACAGTGTCTTGGCCGATACCGTGCACGAAGGTCGCGAGCAGCCGGACCGAGGTGCAACTACCGTATTACGCGTTACCGTATTACCGACCATCGTCGACCGCCGCATCTGTCCGTCTGTCATCCGCACTTGGATCTCTTCAGTAAGGAGATCCTCCGGATTCTTTCTCTCGGAATATTCTGCCCCGCCGATCTTGTGTCGCGAGTTGTGTGAACGTAACGACCACTTTACCACCGTTCGTCTAGGCCCGATTAATAAACCCAATCGTCAACGCTCTTGCTATATTTTCCTCTTTTTCTACTTTCGGTGTGATTTTAGCCAGTTTTCCCCACTTTCGGTCCGAGACCACCATACTGACCCACCCCCTCCTATTCCCTGTTCCGAATCCTGACATGCCCGGTACGTCATCGTCGCCGTCTCGACAGTGTTTCGTCGCGATCGCACACGCTTCGATCCCCTCTCGATTTCCGGTGTGATACGATGTGCTTCGGTAAGATCGCAAGGAAGCGAACGACGAGAAGACCGGGGAGAGGAACGAAGGGAAGCTCGATCGCCCGTCTAACTCGAAACCCCGTCGAAATCGGTCACGCGAATCATCAGCTTGATGCTCGCGGTCGCGGAATTACACGGCGAACAATAAACGTAACGAATCGTCATGTCGCGAGTAAACGAGTTAGCGATTATGCGAATATCCGCGTGCGTGATCATTTCGGGCCGTTAATTCAGCGAGCAGCCGACAATGCTCGTCACGTCGCGTAAACCTGGCACACGCGTCGCAACAAATTATTTGGCATTTCATTGACATCGTCGTCAACGCGTCAATCCTATTTATCGCTAAATGACATGCTCTGCGAAAAAAATTTTATCGGCTGTTCGAAAATAATTCGGGAAATAACGACGTAATTTGGGGGAATACCGGCAAAAACATGAATTCTCGATTTAACGAACGAGAAGCGATAACTGGCAAAAAGAAAAAAATAATCGCGAACGCAATTCTCGATGTGTGAACGGCAGTGTCGGTAGTGACATCGCGTTACTCGCCGTGTGATGTTATATCAATATAAATCACAACTTCGCGTTACATTCCTGAGAATATTCAGTGCTCCGGACATTTATTTTTATCCTATTCACTGTACTCTGATTTATTGCTCATTGTTATATTGGCATTACTTTTATTTGAATAAATATTTGATTTATCGACATGTTACTCTCTTTCAGTTATAAACCTTTTCAGTTCTCACCATGGCGATCCTGAATTTTTACATTACATATCCCGCATCTTTCCCGCATTGTCAGTACTGAGCACCGCGCGACGGCAAGAGACGTTCGCGCTTTTGCTTTCGCGCTTTCGAACCAATTGATTTTTCTAAAAAAAACGCGAAATTCCCTCTCTAATTGGAAAATCCGCGTCAACGGCAGTCGGTGTAACGAAACGGAGGGTATGAATTTGTGTAACGTTAAATTATCGACACGAGAGGTGGATGTGTCAAATGGACGAAATTTACTATGTCGCGTAATTAGTGCGTGCTTCTGACAGTGCTGGTTGAAATTATTGTTTGTGTCGCGGCCGGAAGTGCAAACCCTTCATAAACGTCAGTCGAAAGAGAATCGCATTTATAACGTTAAGCCATAAGATGATAAAATCTCGAGGCTATGATATCTTCCTGATATCACGAAATTTTATTAGAATTCTTCTAACTCGATTCATATCGCGTTACTCGGCACTCGATATTTTCGCGCTACGACAGCTGATTTTAGGCAGTGTCATCTAGCAAAAATCAATGTTTTAAATAAAGTTATTCCCCTACCGGGAATTAGTCATGATATTTTAAATCTTAATATTATCGGATCTCTAATCAGATCTTACAATTAATATTACCGAGAGTCACAGTGAATATTGTGACAGTTCTTCAAATGCTCAAATACTTTCGGAGATGTTTGATTGACATTTGAATACTTTCCCGATCGCGAGCAAAAGCATGTGAAACGGTTGCCTATGACATTGAAAAAATTATAGTGTTGATGTTGAACATTCGTCGTGCGTGTCGTCGGGCAACGCAAAAATTGTATTTTCTTTTTTTCTGGATTGCAGCTTCGAGCGGGAGACGCGTTGCAGCGAGAGATTCCCGCGCAGGAGAGGAAGACTGGACAAAGCGGAAGAAGCAGAATAAGACGAGCAAAGCAGAAATAGAGGAGCAGAAGAGCGTAAGAAGACCGAGAGCCGAACAAGTAGAAGTGGGGTTGCAAAGAAGGAAGTGATTAGCGAGTTGATCGCGCGTATCCGAAGATAGCGAGGAAGGAGATAGAGGACAGAAAGATCTGGAGAGTAGCTACGGAAGCGCAGAGAAAGACAAAGATCGAGAGAGAGAGAGAGATAGCGAGAAAGAGAAAGATTGAGAGAGAGAAAGAGCAAGAATTGGAAAGAAAGCTCGACAGAGAACCCCGCGCTCATACATATATATTTCAGTGTGTTCAAAAAACGAGTGTACCTAAGTGCAATATTAATTAAACCTAAACGATAATAAGAAGCAACCACAACTACCATCGACGATATCGGTAACGACGAGCGGTGATCGATAATCGAATAGAATTCCTTTTAAAGAGTTAAAACGCTAGAGTCGCATTTCGAGGAGGAGTCATCGACGGACGCGACACAGCAACTTGGAAGAAAAGGAATATCGGAGGAAATAGGCGGAAGCAGAAACGGAGTGAAGGAAATCCCGGAGAGAAACGCTCTCGTCCCGCTTAAAAGAATTCACACGGATTCACCGATTTAAGCCGACGCGCGCGACAGCGGACACCAACTTTTCAAGCCTGTTCGAGCGCGTTCGAGCACACGCACACACACGCACGCACACACACACGCACGCACATCCAACATAACGGGGCTAAAATACTCAGGGCAAAACGGGACGAGCAGTAATAATCCGCGAGTGCGATTTCTCACCCCGAAGAGGAGTGGACGCCTTTCCGACCGATAAACGACGATTCGCGTCCGCGTGGACTATCCTTCTCGTTTACACCGTCCGGGCTGGGCAATCCTGAATTTTAACCTGAACTTAAGTGTACGATAGAGTTTAAGTTAGATAGACGAAGGAAAATAGACCGTTCTCCTATTTGCTGGGGAACGTTCGCTCGCGCGCGCAACAACTCACGCAAAGCACACACATATAAAGCACACACACATACATTTACCACACACACAGTCATATGACACACAGAGGAGGGGAAGAAAACTAGAAGAAGAAGAAGAAAAAGGAGAAAGAAGAGGATCATCAACCAAACCGCGAAAACGCGAACAAACGCAAACGTACGCGGCACGACAGCCACCTGCGTACGTAAGAAGCCATCACGATAAAGGACGCATTACGAACGTACAATCACCAATCGGCGGTGCTCTCGCGAGAGGCATCGTAACCGACAGCGACAGGAACGACTTAGGGAAGGCGCGATAGAGAAGAAGAGATCTGGGAGAGGACCCGGAAGAGGGAGTGGAGGAATCATAAGAGGAAGTTTCATGAGCCAGGCGGTAGGTAGCAGGGCCGGGAAGTCGCAGCAGGTGGCGAGTAACTGACGTTGCCCGCCGCCCACGTCGAAGCTCGGCACGGCGCGAGGATCGTTATCGTTACGACGATCCCGAGGCTGAAAGCAGCGGCCGAGCGAGGAGAAAGGTAGGAAGGAACGGCGGCGAGCGCAGAGGTGTGCCGGCCGTCGAGCTGCTTACCGGAAGGGGTGCGAAAAAGCGGGCAAGCTGCGCCGGAAGGGGGTAGCCCGGGCTTCTCGCGAAGGCCTCAAAATTTCGGACGCGACGGCGGCCCTGGACCTGCGTGCCCAGACGCAAGCCCAACCAGACTTCGGCCAGCTAGACCACCAGCAGCCGCAGCATCACCATCAGCAGCAGCAGCCGCCGCAGCAGCAACAGCAGCAGCCACAACAACAGCAACAGCCGCAGCATCCGCAGCAGCAGCACAACCAAAATCCAGAGTCGCGTCCTCACCATCACCTGCCACAGCAGCATCATCATCAGCATCACCCGGGGAATCATCTCCACTCTGGCGATTCGGGGGGTGGGATAGGAGGTGGAGGAGGAGGCGGCGGTGGAGGAGGTGGCGGCGGCGGCGGAAGTGGCGGTGGAGGTGGCGGCGGCGGCGGAAGCGCCGGTGGTGTTGCTGTTGTTGCTGGCGGAGGACCGCCCGGACCCGAGCCGGACCGGTCCGCAAGAATTCACGACGAGGAAGACGAGGACATCACCGAGCGGGAGGACGAGGAGGAGGACGAGGATCCTTGCAGTTCGCCGGAGCCCGACCTTGAAAACGAGTCCGAACCCATGGAGATCCAAGCCTCGGCTGTCACCGCGGCAGCCGCGAACCTCCACGCGCTACGCCAGCACGTATTCAAGATGTCGGATTACTGGCAGCAGCCGCAACGCGGTCCGCCTCAACATTCACCCGGGATACAGCATAGTCCCATCTCGAATTCGACGCAGCATCAGCAGCAAGTCCAGCAGATGCACAGTCCGCTCGGGCAGCAGCAGCAGCAACAGCAGCAGCAGCAGCAACAACAGCAGCAGGCCGCGGTCTCGCAAGTGCAGCAGAACGCGAACGCGACACTTGGCCAGACCGCAAGTCCCCAACAACAGATACAGCAACAACAACAGCAGCATGCGTTATCGATGAACCAGGCTAATCAGGGCCCGCAGCATCAGTCTTCCCCGGCACCGACGACGCCGTCGCCACAGGCGGATCATCAGGGCGCCATTGCCTCTAGTATGGCCCAGAGTCTGCACAGCCTCGCCCAGGCGCAGACGATGTCGCAGGCGTCGAGTCCGTCATTGGCGGTCCAGGCCGTCCAAGCGGCTCAGGCGCTCAACCAGAATCTGGGCCAAGCGCTAACCCAAGCCCTTACGCAAAACATGCAGCAAAACCTCGGACAAACCCTACAGCATAATTTGACGCCGAGTTTGTCGCCGCAACAACAACAGCAACTGCTTAACCAACCGCAAAATCTAAGCCAGGCGAACCAGAGTCTGCAACAGAACATCCAAGCGCAGAATTTGTCCCAGACGCTGCAGCAGGCGCAGAACCTCAGCCAGGCGCTTAACCAGCAGACGTTGCAACAGCAAGCGCAAAATCTCACGCAGAATCTGCAAGCGCAAAATCTCACCCAGAATCTGCAGCAGCAGGCGCTCAACATGGCCGGTACCATCGCGCAGAACGGCGGTCTCGCCGGTATGAACATGTCGGGCAATCAACAGCAAAATTCACAAAACTCCATGCTGAGTCCAGGCGCGACCAGCCAGGACTCCCACGACGCCACGCTCACGGAGAAGCTCGTCAACGAGTTACAGGTGAGAAGCTGCGGGGCAAATTCCCGAGTTTTATATTCGCAATTCGAAAAAAAGTCAATATCTCCTCCGTTCTACGCGCGTACATTATATGCGCGTGTGTATACGTATCTTTTTCTATTATCTTCCGCTCGCGCGCTCCGCGAGAGAAACGGACGGGTGTCTCGCGACTCTCCGTATCCACTGCGAGGAGAGCTGCGATAAATAACTAGGGCGAGGCGACCGCGATAAAAATACATAACGCACCGATAAATAGGGTCATTCACTCGCGAGCCGACAGACGCCGGACAATACTTTCGAGCGAGAATATTTCTCTCCTCGCGGAGAAAAATATTTATTCAACAATACTGTCGGACGACAGCGTCGACGGGCCCTAAGTATCGCGAGATATCAAGGTCTCTCCTACATGTCGACGTTCGTTTGTGTAAATAGCGCGGTTTCAACGCTTTGCGAAAGTTCGTCGTCTCGGCGCAAAAATGAGGCGCCAAGTTGAAATGTGCATTACTAATGCAAATTCTCGCTGAACGACATACCAAACGCCGCTTCTAATTTATCGCTCGTGTAAAACTGCTTGCGAACAACGTGTACACGGAAAACCAGCGGAATTCGAATGCGAATGGCTTTTACGTTAATTTAGCGTCATCTTAGCATTACAAAGTCACATGTCATCAACAATTTCGTCGGTTTGATTACGCGACTGTACCCAGATACGCTGACCACGGTTCGTACAGATACACAGACGCACGTACGCATACACATGCACACCAATAGGGTACGTTGACTTACTACATCGTACTGACTTACACGCTTGTACACGCGGTAGAGAGAGAGAGAGAGAAAGAGAGAGAGAGAGAGAATTTGCGAGTGAGAGTAAGCGACAGAGAGAGAGTGAGAGTGAGTGAGTGAGTGAGTCAGTGAGAGAAAGAGGGAGGAAGGGAGAGAGAGAAGGAGAGAGAGAGAGAGAGAGAGAGAGAGAGAGACCGAGAAAGCACGCACACGTCAAAGTAGCAGTGCGGTCCGCAAATGCGAACGCGGCCCACGCACACCAATGCGGGGAGATGCAGATACGTCGTCTCCCGGGGTTCTTGACCCGCGCAACACAGATAATACCATACGCATACGTCATACGGTACGCCGGGAAGATGTTACCAAGAAAATATCGCGCCGTGTTACTGCGACGGCATGGGCCGCGGAGTTTCGATGAAGGAAAGAGAGAGAAAGAAAGAGAGAAAGAAGGAGAGCGTGAGATTGCGAGCTAGAGTATGTGTGTGTGTGAGAGAGAGAGAGAGAGAGAGAAAAGTCACATCGTATCTCTCGACAGATAGCGGAACTTTGAAAGCGCGTTAGCGAGTCTGAGCATCGGTGATTTGTAATTAGAGAGACTATAAATATCGCTCGTGAGAAGAACCGAGAGAACCATATTAGCTTACGCACGGAGACGTTTCGCGATACGACACACTCGAACCTGACCTGCCGATACTTTTCGTAGAAATCTTGTTTTGCATTGTCGAATGATTATTATCGCGAATACTGATATTAATTTACACGGCCTTGATCGAGCGACTCCGCAACTATACCTCTGCGTGCCTACACGAGATAGAAATACTTATTCCGTCACGCCGCCGTTCTCGGCTTGTCACTGCCACGGCAGAGCGCGTTTGCTTTTTTATATTCGAAGTAGCAAGTCGCGGACTATCGTGCAACGAAAAGAAGCTTTGTAGTAGAGACGGTTAGTAGCGCCGAAAGGACGACGAGGATCGGGGACTAACATGAGCTATCCTATCTTGCCTGATAGTCTCGTGCCTCTGCGGCGGGGCTTGGAGGTGCAGTAGGTGCCGGCGGTGGTGGAGGAATGGGCAACATCAGCGAACGCACCCTCGAGGAATGCTGGTCCACCCTGCAGCGAGTGAGTTGAACACTCAGCCCGTTCAAAAAATCCCTTTTATTAATGCTCTCCTTACCCTAAGTTCGACGCTTTCTCTCACCAACGGCCAAAGTTCTGTCGTAACCGTTTTTTTTTTCCTTTACATTCCACTTTAACTTGTCGATCCTGCACGTCGCAGACGCGCTGCGTCTCGTCTCGCTCATTGGCATTATTTTTCTTTCATTTATCGACATTCAGTTCGCTATATATTCTGCCCGATTATGAGTTTCGCTTCCGCGTGAACTCCTCTGGAACGTCTCGCGATCGTTCTTATTTTATTTGCATCTCGATCGCTTTGTTATCACTTATCTGTTCGTCATTTTGATTCTTAATATTTTCTTTTTTTTTGTCTCTTTATCCGCTGGCATGTGTCGTATGTGTATCGCCGTTCGTTTCTGTACCTTCGTCAGCTGAATGTGTCGCCTTGTTCCTGTGCATTGTGAAATAGTCTTACTTTACTCGTAGCTGACCGCCAGCGGCGGTTCGAACGATCCTCGTTCTCGCTCGCGCCTCGTAACTAACGAGCGCGTCGTTACATCACACTAGAGATTTAACGGATGACGCGCGGCGGTATGTGCGGCGAAATGTGCGTTCCGCGCCGTAACGTTTGGCGCCTGTGTCACGCACGCGACGAGAAAGTACATACATCGATAAAGCGTACATACATCAATTTTTCGGTCGAGTGACCAATTGCGCTCGGATAATCACCGATCAGCCTGCGTCGCTCATGATCGTCGACGCGAACGGATGCGTATCGCGACTTCCTCGCGCGAGTACTTTGCGCCAACACTGCAAGCACGAAAGTACGGGAAAAGAAAGCGGCACTAACGAGCCCCGAATTACGTTAAACTGTCGACTGATGAACGGAGCGTGAGGTCCCGGAAAGGAGAGTACGGCGCGGTAAAAAGGCGGGATACTTCTCCCCTTCCTGCTGGAAAACTTTAAAATTCTCAACCCCGGGACGAAACAACAATTTGTTTCGTTAAGTAGCCGCAGCGCTCTTTTGTTTTTGCGGCTTCTTTTATTTTAGCGGCGATAGCGCCGGCGGTCGGAGTGACGGCGGAAAAGGTAACAGGAGGAGGTGGAGGAGGCAATGGGAGGGATGCAAGAGGGGGCTGCTCAGGCACCTCGTCCTCCCGCCCGTGTTCCACCTCGTCCTTCCTTTTCTTCCATCGCCACCTTAAAAGCCGCCCGCGCCGCGCGCGCGAAGCGAAACTTTCGGAAAATCGCAAAAACGCCGAGCGATGGCGAAGTTTCCACGTTTCCCCGAGATTTAATTAAAACATTCGCCTCCTTTGTGCCGTCCCCACGCACCGTTCGCGGACCGAGCCGTCGAAGCGAGCCATCGTCCTTTCATTTTGTCCAGGCGGTGAGGACTGATACGAGTTATCTTCGATAGGTCCGACGTGATTTGATTTTTAATTCTTAAATCTTAGGATTCATTAATCTTACGGATTTTGATTAATGCTACTAAATTATTAAAATATAAAAAAAAGATCGCTACGCATAATTACGCATGATTGCGCATAGTTACGTCGACTCTAACTCGAAACTACAAATTAAAATAAGTCTCATGGAAAAAGAAACCACGTGTGCTTTGATTAAAATCTATAATCTTAAAAGCTTTTAATAAAATTGAATTGAATTGAATTAATTAAGGATTGATAGAAATAATACACGCGCAAATACGTTCAGCCGTTGTCTCCAATGACACCGCCCTGTTAAAAAAAAATTTCGAAACACTTGAGAATTCATTGTGAGCTCGTGGGAAAGATGAAGGGTTCCGCGGAGTAGAGAGGACGAGACGAGTGCATCGCAATATTACATAAACATTCGCGGAGAAGCGTTCTCAGGACCGGGGGTGCACCCGCGTTTTTTTGTTCTACATCGCGCTACCTCGAAAATTAAAATCCAATTATTTCGACGCCTCTGTTCAACCCGGGTCGACCGATTCAAATGAATTTTTTGCCCGCGCTTCTCCCCAATTCGCTCCTTTCAACGCGCGTTAAACCGGTTCGCTCGGCCCAACGACCATTGCCAAGTTGCATCCAGACCATGATCCACCCTTAATCGATCTGAGCCTACGATTTCAAATCAAGCTGACAGCTGCTAAGAGAAACCAGAACCATAAGGAAGGAAGGGGAGGATGGGAAAGTGGGCAGAGGAAAGGAAAATCCGAAAGAAACCGAGCTGCTTTTCGACGAATGCAAATTATTGCGATATATGCATTGTTATTTCTCAATGTGTACGAAGTCCTGTTGGTACAAAAAAAACGTGAGCTCTCGGAAGCTAAAATATTTTTAAATATATATATATTAACTAAAGACTTTTGGTTAAATAATTAAATAGTAAACGAAAAAGGACTTAACGATAGAAATTTAATAACTCACTTTCGATCGCTACAAGACCGACAGATTTCTAATTATTTTCAGATATAACGGAGAAAATTAATAAAATGCAGGAACACGAAGCGTGACGATAGTCGCAAAGTGTATGATTTAATAGTCGAGCGCGACGCGATACAAAACGATCAAGTAATGATTACGTTCCTCTCGCTCCTCTTACCGCGATGCAGGAAAAAAAAACCAAAAGAAACGCGTATTATCTATTTGCCGGCGCGGGTACGTCTCGTTCCGGCATGCAAATCCCGAGGAATCTTTCTCACGTTGCGTCCCTCGGAGAAGCGCGAGCCTTTTTTTTTCTCCTCATGCCCGGAAGGTTCCCGTGTACTATTTAAATAACGGTTCTCGCGCGCGTGTCATTGTTTCACCGCTCTTTCTCTCTCTCTCTTTCTCTCTCTCGAGCGAGTAACCCTTCTGGTTACCAGGGAAAGGCAGAGAGAGAGGTGGAGTGGGGTTGTTCTGTTTCGAGTCGAGGAAGAAAACCGAAAGGGCGGATGGCGGGAGGGGAGGGAAGGGGGTCAAGTTCCGTGCCGGATAGCCGTTACGGCAAAGACAGAATTACGACGTCTCAAGACGAGGGGTGCATCCTCCGCACCCCTCGTTTCACCTCCCTTTCGCTCCCGGTCCCGAGCGGATCGTCACGGAGTTTCTTAGCTTTTCAGTAATTTTCTATGATTTTCGGATCGCATGATCGGCAACAATAACGCGCGCGCAACCGCGGCCTCTTTGAAATCGGCCTAATCGAATGCGTTCGATCGAATGCTCGCGAAAGTCGGTGAATCTACGCGGAAGAACGGCGGGTGATAATGGCGGTGGAGATTCGTTTCAGAAATCTAATTTTCTCGGAGAAGAGGAAAACGTTTCTTACGAAAACATCGTCTAAAAGTAACAACTTCGAGATATCGCTTCGTGTAACTAAATAAAACGTAAAAGTTAGAGAGAAAACGTAACGCGTAAAAAAATACCGAGTGCATCTATTAGCGTAATTAGTAAAAAGGAATCAGCGAAATGGTAGAGCGATATAATACTGACAGCAGTGCTCACAAAAGACTCTTCACATTTGGATGATGATACGCAGCCCCTAATGACTTTCCATTCCGTTTCCACGAGTAATCGAAACCGTGTGGGTGCATTCCGCGAGCTGCATCAAAGCACGGCTACCGTTCGCAAATGACATGTCAAAACTGCGTGATTGGTACAAAGAGTCGTTTACAGACAGAGAAAGGTGGAAGACGCGCACACGTCGCGATGGACACAGGCCCCCGACGTGCACACGAGTTCTTTCCTCTTTCTCTCTCTCTCTTTCTCTCTTTTCTCCCTCGTTCTCCCCCCTTTCTTTCGTATGCGGCTTCGCCATGACCTACCCCAAACAAACCACGAGAAAAAGAGGGAAGAGAAGCGGCAGCGGCGGTGAGGCCGCGGGGGCGACGAGAGGCGCGGGGAGAACGCGCGGCGTGGAAAGAGAGAAGACGAAAGAAAGAGAGAGGTACGGCGAGGGAACGGAGAGAGGGGACGGAAAGAGAGGATGGAGGAGAGCCGCATTCGCGCCCACACACGCCCGAGAGGTTGCAACACGCGGACGGCAAGGAGTAAGAGCTCCCCATGTGCGAGAGAAGGAAGGGCGCGCCGCGGAACGGAGTTTATTCTTCGTGCTTTTTTTTATCGTTCGTTGACTCCGCGCTCCTCTGCAGCCGCGGCGAGAGTGCAGCGCGCTGCTCCACGATAAGATTGCACTCGCAGGGGCGGCCGGCAGAAAGAGATAGAGAAAACCTTGTTCCACGACACAGAGCGAAATCCGCCCGCGCACGCCATGCGTACACCCGCCGCTTATATTACGTTTCAGCGCGTATATCGCGGAAATATCCCGTCGCCCGAAGTTCGCGGGAAATCGAACGGCACGGACGGGATTTTCGCCCAGATTATCGTCCCGACTTTCGTGAGAATTTGCGATAATATACGGAGTAAAAGCGACGGGGAGACACGTGTTGCACGATTATCACGCGCTCAGGACAGAAATACACAGGCTATTCCAGAAGCGCGAACTCCTTTTTAATGATGTATGCATATATCAACAAGAGCCGTGGTATTTCCGTAATGATTACACACATTACACGGCGAAGAAGACAAGAAAACAGAAGGGTGAGCGTCGCAAAACATCGGTTCGCCCAATAATGGACGGGCGAAACTTTTCCGGTGGCCCACGCGAATATTTGTTGCGGACAATTATGTCAATTAGCGGCACGTATATTCGCACGACGAACCGGGCGAATTCGTTATTGAGCGGAGCATGCGAGCCCCGCGCGAAACCCGCCGCGAGCGAGTAAAGGCGACGACGAAACACATACACTTCGTCGAGGTGATTGACCTCAAAGTTTCCCATAATGCATGCGCGATTATAGGGCAACGTAGGGACCGCACTGTTTTCGGCCTTGGTGCACGGAGCGATGTTACTCAATATACGTCACGATCGTGTATCGCCCGTCTATAAATTCCTCATAATGCAGCGTGTGACGAGGGGAATGCGACTCGCAAATAACTCCGCATTCGATCTGCGATTTAATTTTAAATTTCGCAACATTC